TGTCGGTGGAAATGCCAACACCCCACGTTTCATTTTAATTCACACTTCCCGTGATTTCATCTCTCTGAATTTCAGGAGTTCAAAGAGTTTTTCTTTTGTCCTTTTGGTTTTCCCCTTTGATGATCATTTCATTCTTGGAAACTACCACCCCACTCATCATCGAAGGTAAAAGACATTCAACTTTCTAGTCTTTTTTTTTTTTTAAGATTTTGCATCAAGGCTTGGTTCTAGTAAGGTAGTGAAATCCATTTCTTTTTAAGGCCAGAAAAAGATGTTCATTTCTTTTGGCTTTAATTTCACGATCTTTGCACGTTTAGCTTGATTAAGACCGCATTTCACTTCATGTTTTGTGCTTTAAAAATTATAGGTTTCTGGAAGTAGCTAGCAAGAACATTGTACATGCAATAGTGTTGTTTTGGATGAACACTACTAATTTGTTGTATTGTCATTGTAATTTAGATACAGATGTTTTAACTTTAGAAATCTTTGAATTATTGAAACTGGGACTGGTGAAACAATGGACCAAAAAATCTGGCTATGGAAGAAAAAATCCACAGAGAAGACCAGTCTTTCTACTCACAAACTAAACATTTCCCAGAAAGACAATGTAGAAGAGGTAAAGTCAAGAAAAATGTTTGATTATGTTCAATAAAATTTCTCAGAAAGTTCTTTGCCAGAGTTTGTCATTTTACCCCAATGTTGATTGATGCTTTAATTGGGATTTTCTTCAAGTTAAACTTAGTTGATATCATTTATTGAAATTCTCTGACTATATGTTAGGATGCCTTATTCTGGGTTGGCAAGTAATTTCTGTAGTTTTTACTTTGGGATATTTTTTATTACAGTGAAGTTTGATTGCTGTTTTTGGTTTTCACATGTTTCTCCCAGATACAGACTTTTGTAACTGATAAAAGAGAATTGGAGAATGAGCTAAATAAATTAAATCACAAGCTTGCCTCTGCACTTTCCGACTGTAATTACAAAGATGAACTTGTGAAGAAACATGAAAATACGGCACTGCAAGCTACTGCAGGTATATAATATACATATACACATTATAGTTTCCTCTCGATACAGTGGAGATTTTTTTTAATGGATGAATTATATGCAGGAAGGGAGAAGGCGGAATCGAGAGCTGCTTCTTTAAAGCAAGAACTAGATGAAGCTTTGCAGCAGAGAGTTGCAAGTGAAGAACGGGTAACCAATTTAGATGCGGCTCTCAAGGAATGCATGCGACAACTGCGGTTTGTTCGACAAGAGCAGGAGCAAAGGATTCACGATGCTGTGATTAATGCATCGAAAGAGTTTGAGAAATCAAAGAATAATTTGGAGGAGCAGTTGGCTGATACTAGGAAAAGGGTTGCCAAATTAGGTGTTAAGAATACTAATCTTAGTAAGGCTCTCTTGGCGAAGGAAAACGTTATTGATGATTTAAACAAGCAAAGGGCTCGGATCGAGACCAATTTGAGTGCACTACTGATAAGATTAGAATCCACAGAGAAATATAATGCTGCTTTGAAATATGAGGTCCGAGTGCACGAGAAAGAACTTGAGATCTGGAATGAAGAAAGAGAATTCAATCGTCGAACATCAGAAGCATCACACAAGCAACATTTAGAAAGTGTGAAGAAAATTGCTAAGCTCGAATCAGAATGTCAACGGTTGCGTATCCTAGTCCGTAAACGGTTGCCAGGTCCTGATGCTTTGGCTAAGATGAAAAACGAAGTTGAAATGCTGGGAAAGGGCTCTATTGAAATAAGGATGAGAAAATTAAATCAAAGTCCTACCAGTGTAGGGGTTGATTTCGCAGTTGACAGTTATTCGGACAGCCCAAGCAAGAGGGTTAATACCCTAACTGAGCAGTTGTGTGCAATTGAAGAAGAAAACATGGCTCTCAAGGAAGCCCTTAATAAAAAAACCAGTGAACTTCAATTCTCAAGAGCCATGTATGCCCGCGCTGCTTCCAAATTATCGGATGTTGAATCACGGCTTGAAGAATCCTCCAAAAGTCTGTCGAACAATGAGTCAACCAGGAACAACATCAAGTTGTCATCAATGTATGATGTAGGCATAGATGATAAAGCTAGTAGTGCAGAATCCTTGGCTTCTACTTTAATTTCAGAGCTTGAGCATTTCAAGAATGGACAAATAAGAAATTCGTCATCACGCAAAACCGTTGTGTCTTCGGAAATAAATCTGATGGATGATTTTGTTGAGATGGAGAAATTAGCTTTAGTCTCAATTGATAAACAGTCGGAAAGTTCTCATGTTTCTTCGGATGAAGCTCATGGGACCCTGGGACCATTGCAAACTGGATTGAATGGAAATGCCTTGGAGGTAATGTGTAAGGAGACGGTCCTTGTTCCTGACAGTTGGTATGACCATAGCATGTTGAACAATGAAATGAAGTCCAAAAGTCTGTTGGTTAGCAAAGTTCCTGGTCCGCTTCAGGATATACGAGAAGCAAACTTGGAGCAAACCAATGCAACACAAAGAAACCCTGATGGAATGCTTGAGGATATTAGAAGAGGGTTGGCTTGCATGGGCTATCCGAATGCTGCTGAATCTATTGATGAAAATGAGGGTTTGGACCGTCATAATTCCTCTGATCCATCTTGTATTAGTGGCTACATGTCATGGAAATCATTGAATAGTTCTTCAAAAGTGGATTCATGTAATGAGGACGCTGATGTTAACATTTGCTCAGAAGAGGTGGGCAACCAGCGGTTGCATCCTGATTTGACTGAATCAATTTGCAGGATAATTGAGCTTATCGAAGGGATCAGCTTACCGCCACCGGATTATAATATTCCTGAGAAGAATTCTTTCCCATACAAGCACAAGGAAACACCTGGCTATGTAGTTCGTGTTTTCCAATGGAAAACTTCTGAAATCGGTGCTGTTTTACATCAATTTGTGCAGGCTTGTTATGACTTATTGAATGGAAAGGCAGACATCAACAAATTTACCCAAGAATTAACTTCGGGTTTGGACTGGATCATTAATCATTGCTTTTCTCTTCAAGATGTTTCGATCATGAGAGATGCTATTAAGAATCACTTTGACTGGGATGAATCAGAAAGAAATAGTGAAGTGGAAGGTGGAATAGTTGATCAATTTGCACAACCCGAAAAATTTGATGTTGCTGCTCTGTACGACAATGAAGAGTCTAGTATGAGAGAAGAAAAAATAAAACCAAGAGATGAGTTGGTTAACGAAGAAGCCACAAAGCATCATGTTGAAGAGAAGATCCAGTCAACTATGAATATGAGCAACTCTCTGATAAATCAACTTGAGGAATCTGAGAAAGCCATTGAAAAGTTGCAGGTGGAGTTGGATACATTGAGAAAAACTGAGGAAATGGTTGAAGTGAAAGTTGAAAAACAGATGTGGATTAATGGAATCTATGATAACCCGCTTTCCTTGACCAAATATAGAACAGATGAAGCTTGTCAAAATTTTCCTTCACAAGACCTTAAATCAAAGATTAATAATAGCGGCCATGAAGATTTTGAGACTGCTTGCCTTGACAGGTAATCTCAATTTTGCTTTTTTGAACCAAATATTGTAGTTATCATGGTCGATTTTGTTTGCAATGTTGTGAGTTTTATGCAACTTATGTTTTCTTTCCTTCACAGTGTGACAGAAAAGGAGCGACCGAAGTCTGAAATCGAGCAGGAGGGAAATCAGTTTCGAACTGTAAGTTCATATTTCGATGTTATATGCGGATAACGATTAGACTAATTCATTCTCTATATATAACATGTGAAATGTATTAACTATCGATCAATCTGCCAAAACCAGGAGATTACAATTGCTTCGGAAAATTTGGCCGAGTGCCAAGAGACTATTTTAAACTTGGGAAAGCAGTTGAAGGCATTGGCATCTCCAAAGGAAGCAGCCATTTTCGACAACATTATCTCCGCTCAAAACGAGATCATAACTCCGACGACTTTAATAACTATTCCAACTCCACCGAGGAAGAAGTTGATTAGCCGAAGACCCTTTCTACTAGATCAGATGATAACTGAAGATAAGGCCAAAGTAAAAGGCAATCCCAGTTCTTCTTTCATCTCTAAGGCGGCGCTATCGCTATCGTCTACAGACAGTACCCTCGTTCTAAACGGAAATAAACAACAGGAAGACAATGCTGCAGTTAAATCTTTAGCAATTGTCCCTAGCAAAAAGCAAGGTGGGAATTTATGGAAAAAGCTTTTCCGGAGAAAGGGCTTTGGATGTTGAGGAGTTCAACTAGTAATCTCATGAAACAATTGGATGGTACGAAAACGACACATCCGAGATGGACCCGAACCTCGGGTCCATGTGTTATAGTTAGATAAGGGAATTTATGCATTGGGTCTGTCTTATAATGTCTTAGAAGTGAGATTTATTCTGGACTGATCATGCACGAAGTGTTCCATTTGTGGTATATTATTTACCTTTCATCTTCTTTTCCTACAAACTAAAGCAATGCCATTTTAAAATTGTTTTGGCCTAATAAATTATGCAAAAACACTGTGAGCCAAAACATCTAAATCCCAAGGATGAAAAATCCAGTTTCATCACAGGGGCAAAACGAACTCACCGAAACACTGATAGATTGAATGCATGTCCCTCGGCAGAGGCAACCTACCCTACCACGTGAGGGGCACCGACCTACAAAGTAGGGCAGTACCTAATTTTCAAAAGGGTAAAGTTAACAAATCGGTACTGGACTATCTTAAAACAATCTTTTTAGTCACTAAATTTTTAAAAATTACAAAATGACATCTTTTTTTTGTTAATTAATGTTGTGGTCGGTACAGTGGGTTGATGACAAATTGGAAGGAGAAAGGAAAAAAATTGGACTTTCAATTTCCCTTTTCCTTTTATTTTTTGGTTGTTTTAAGCTCTCTTTGAAAAACTGAATCTTCATAATAGAGCACGCAGCTGAGAAATATATGCAGTGTTTTGAAATATAGGTTTTTTTTTTATATACAGATACTTGAGGATGAAATCAGAAAAAAAAGTGGAGATGAATGTGTTTATAAAGGTCTGGATTTGGTGAATGGAAACTTTGTTGCGATTAAACAAGTATCTTACTATCTTTGGAGAATAGAGTACAGGACGATCTCAATATTATTATGGTTTCATTTTTGTATTTGATTTTTGCTCTAGAATCTCTGAAGTTGCCCATACTTGATTACAGGTTTGGGAAAAGTGAGAGGATAAACAATGAAAAATGTGGTTTTATTTAAATTTTACGATTTGTAAGATGTTTTTTCAAATTAATTATTTAAAAATAATTTTTATAATTTTAAAAAATAAATTATGATTTTTTTATATTTTTTATTTTTAAAAATTATTATTGAAAAAAATATTAAAATAAAATTTTAATTACAAATAAAATTAAGCATTAATTTAATTATTACGACATCAATCAAACAACAGTTAATGAGAGTTAACACAGTGTTCATTTTATAACAATATTTATAATTTAAAGTATATTTTGTAATTTTTAAAAATTTAATATTAAAAGAAAGACTTAATGTAAAAATAAGTGTCCAAACTATACTCTACGTTAACTTTATGTGTTTAAAGAATTTTTCGTTAAAAATAAGTGCCTAACGTTTTCTCCGTTATACTTTTAAGTGTCTACGTAATTATGACTGTTAAAGAAAATCATTAGATGACACGTGTCATGTTTATATTTTGATTTAATACAAAAATAAGTGTTCAAACTATAAACTAAGTTAACATTTGGTGCCTAAATAATTTTTCACAAAGAATAAGTGCCTAACATTTTCATCGATACACTTTTAGGTGTCTAGACTGTAACAATCGTTAGATTTGATCGTTATCTAACATGAGTTACGTTTATATATTTTTTAAATTTATAATTTAAAAAAATTAAAATATCATTTTAAAAAAATTAAGAAAAAGTTCTCCTCTCCCTCTTGTGCAAAATTTTCCTCTTCCCCAATTTCATTAAGATTCCTCTCCATCATCTCCATAAACCCCTAAAGTTAACTTAAGATGAGAATGTTAAAATTAGAATTAGGGTTAGGGTTAGAGATTTAGGTATTCGGTTTAAGATTTCAGTTTGGATTTATAAATTTATAGGGATTGATACGACAACAAGAGGGATGGTCAGCAATGGAGGTCTGAAGACGAGTGAGTGACTGTTTAACGATTGCAAAAGCGACCAATGATCGCCAACAACAACTAGTAATGGAGCTAAAATGAGAGATATTAGGATTACAATTTTTTTTTGTAAATTTATAAAAATAATATTTTTAAAAAATAATAATGTTATAAAGTTTTTTTTTAAAAAATAAAGTTTTTAAATATAAACATAGCCCATGTCATTTAACAGTTTTTTTTAACAATTATTACTGCATGAGCACTTAAAAGTGTAACGTCAAAAATGTTAGGTACCTACTTTTAACGAAAAATTCTTTAGGCACCTAAAGTTAACTCAGGGTATAGTTTGAACACTTATTTTTGCATTAAGCCAAAATATAAACATAACACGAGTCACTTAACGATTTTTTTAACGACCCTTATTGCGTAGTCACCTAAAAGTATAACGTCAAAAATGTTCGACACTTAGGGTATAGTTTAGACACTTATTGTTAGGGGTATTCATAGTTCGGTTAAAACCGATTTAACCGACCAAATCGAAATTTTGACCAATTAATTTTGAGTTTGGTCGGTTAACGATTAATCATTTTTTTTCAAACTTCGATTATCGATTAATTCGGTTCGAAATCAGTTAATTAACCAAAATTATTAAATATTTAATATTTAATATATGCTATATATTATTTAGCTTTAAGGGTGTTTAAACTTCAATTTTAACTGAATTAAACGACCAAATTAATCGAAAAAACCAAAAATATATAATATAATATATTATTTATAAATTTCGATTAACCGACTAATTAACCGAACTTAGTTCGGTTCGATTAAATTTTGTTGAGAATATTTTCGGTTTGATTAATAGTTAAAGGAAAAAAATCCAATTAATTTTTTTTTAAATAATTTGATTCAATCAGTTAATTGAATTAACTGATTAAACACCCCTACTCATTGTTACATTAAGTCTAAAAAATATATTTAAATATTTGAGTGAGTACTTGTAACCTTGAAAAATAAAGAGAAAAATGTTATAAATAAATGGACCCTTTGTAGAATACGATGGCACGTTATAAACAAAGTGAAAACATGAAAAAGAAAAAAAAGTATGACCTTAAAATAAGAGAAAATTAAAGGTGGCAATAATATAAAAGATAAAAGCATCATAGTTAATTAATTTAAGAGGATGATATATTAATTTTTTTAATAATTTAATGTAATTGTTATAAGATAATATTTTTAATTTTTTTAATCTATTAGCAAGTACATGCATATGCCAACGTTATTTTTTAAACTCAGATTTTTTAAAAATTATAACACTATGTTTTACCATCAAAAGCATTTAATGAATTTAATTTTTTAAATCAAATCTAAATTTTAATATTATAAATAAAACAAATTACATGAGACAGCCTTAAGCCTCCTGCTAAATCTTTGCAGCGCTGATGAATTTAGTCGGTCGGTTGGCGTAAGTGTCACCATCACACTCACATCCACAGTAAAAATAAAATAAAAGATAAAATAACTTCAGTGATCAAAAATGCCTTATAATATACGATTTTAATCATTTTTTTGGATTTGCCAAAATGACCAACTAAATCGCAATGCGATCGATAATTCGTAACGCGATCTCCGGTATCGCAAATCAGTTTCCAGATTTACAACGCGAACTTCGACTATCGCAACGCGAACTTGGACTATCGCAATGCGATTTACATATTCGCATTGCGATAGTCCAAGTTCGCGTTGTGATAGTCGAAGTTCGCGTTGCGATTTTCCAAATTCGTTGCGATAGTCGAAGTTCGCGTTGCGATTTTCCAAATTCGTTGCGATAGTCGAAGTTCGCGTTGCGATTTATTCCAAATTCGTTGCGATAGTCGAAGTTCGCGTTGCGATTTTCCAAATTCGTTGCGATAGTCGAAGTTCGCGTTGCGATTTATTCCAAATTCGTTGCGATAGTCCAAGTTCGAGTTGCGATTTATTCTAAATTCGTTGCGATAGTCCAAGTTCGCGTTGCGATTTATTCCAAATTCGTTGCGATAGTCCAAGTTCGCATTGCGATTTATTCCAAATTTGTTACGATAGTCCAAAATCTCAACGACTGGTGGTATTGCATTTGTTTCTTAAGAATTTTCTCTAAAAAGATAGTATTCGCGCGAACGTGTCGAAGACACGTATTACCACGACCACGACCACGACCACGACCCGAGACGAGACGAGACGGCGGCGGCGGCGGCACGCGAGAGTCCCCCTTGTTCTTTATCACTCAACAAGGAAGTGGAAAAGTCAAACCTTAAATATCATTCCCAATAGTATTTCCAATACTATGTGGGATTGAGCATTACCAACACTTGTTTCCAATACAATGTGATTATTCAGGAAACAATTAACAAGCATGCACCTTAAAACAACTGAATCAGCAACCAATTGCATTAGTATTATAAAATTAAATATGTCATAATTAAAAGTTAATCTACAAGCAACCGCGATTATTGCAATTTTAAGCAAAACATTCAAAAATAATATCACTATTTAAGGCAATCCCACATAGTATTGGGAACAAGTGTTGGTAATGCTCAATCCCACATAGTATTGGAAATACTATTGGGAATGGTATTTAAAGCTTGGCTTTCCCACTTCTTTGTTGAGTGATAGAGAACAAGGGGGACTCTCGCGCGCGGCCGCCGCCATCTCGTCTAGTCTCGGGTCGTGGTCGTGGTAATACGTGTATTCGACACGTCCGCGCGAATACTATATTTTTAGAGAAAATTCTTAAGAAACAAATGCAATACCACCAGTCGTTGCGATTTTGGACTATCGCAACGAATTTGGAATAAATTGCAACGCGAACTTCGACTATCACAACGAACTTGGAATAAATCGCAACGCGAACTTCGACTATCGCAACGAATTTGGAATAAATCGCAATGCGAACTTCGACTATCGCAATGAACTTGGAATAAATCACAACATGAACTTGGACTATCGCAACGAATTTGGAATAAATCACAACGCGAACTTCGACTATCGCAACGCGAACTTGGACTATCACAATGCGAATATGTAAATCGCAATGCGATAGTCGAAGTTCGCGTTGCGAATCTGAAAACTGATTTGCGATACCGGAGATCGCGTTGCGAATTATCGATCACATTGCGATTTAGTTGGTCATTTTGGCAAATCCCAAAAAAGTTGGTTAAAATCGTATATTATAAGGCATTTTTGGTCACTGAGGTTATTTTCTCAAAATAAAATTGTTCCTTTTACCTTTAGTTTCGTTTTTCTCGAAAAATCACCGGTGATTGGTATATTTATCGATTTAACAACGATCAGAATATATTTTCTGATCTAACACCTTTAGTAGTAAAGTGCGCCCCCTGAACCGTGCTATATGCTGATTTGGCGCCACGTGGGGTAAGGCACGCCTCCTGCATCGCGCTATATGCTGACATGTGATACACGTAGGTATAGCGCGGATCAGGGGTCGTGCCTTACCTATGTATCTGCCACGCGTCAGAAAGGAACGCCCCCTGCCCCGCGCTATATGTTTAATTACCCCCATACCCCGACGCTTCACACCCTAATCCTCCCTATAAATACCCCCATCCTCAATGACTTTCATCACACCAAATTCTCTTAATTTCTCTCAAATACTCTTATATTCTCTGTTTAAGGTATATTTTATTATATTTTTAATATTTTGTATTTAATTTATTTAAGTATTTTAATTTATTTAATATTTTACATATATAATTTTTTTGCAGATATTTAATAGAAGGCGGTCTACTTCGCTTGGATGGAAATCATATATCTCAACACTTTGCTGATATGTCAACATTTTAACGTTTTAATTTAATTTAAATTATTAGTAATAATTTGTTGATTTATTTAATGCATGATTATTAGATTAAGAATTAATTTTTAGGAGAATGACCGTGTATTAGATCCTTTTATTAGGAAACTTAAATTAGTGATACCTAGCTGTGTCTTGCCGTATTTAGTAGAGGCTGGATTTGGTTACATAGGTAGATATCAGGGTCACTGTAAGATAGAACCAGACATTATCTCTGCCTTAGTAGAGAGGTGGAGGCCGGAAAACCACACATTCCATCTTCCGTGTGGAGAGTGCACGATTACACTTGAGGATGTTCCTATGCACCTGGGGCTTCCAGTGGATGGGGATGTTATATCAGGGATCGTGCAGGGTTCCTGGACTACTTTGTGCCAGGAAAATATAGGACGTGTCCCGGAAAGTTTTAACGGTGGTCGGATACCGTTAAATTGGTTAGATGCCAATTTTTGGGAGTTGAGCGAGGACGCGTCTGATGATGAAGTTAAAACGTATGCACGGGCATGCATACTGCAACTGATATAGGAGGGTTGCTGATGCCGGACAAATCGTGCAACCAAGTTCACTGCATGTGGTTGCGACATCTGAGCGACTTTCATATGGCTGGATCATTCAGTTAGGGCTCGGGAGTTTTGGCTTTACTGTACAGGGAGATGTGTCGAGCCACTGACTACAGGTGTAATGCTATCGGCGGATATCTCTTGCTGCTGCAGTCTTGGGCATGGTATCGATTGCCCTTTTTATGTCCCATTGTGAAGAACCCATTCGTATTTTCACTACTCCTGAGGTAATTATAAAACTGATTTCGTATATTAATAATTTTATAAAGCGTATAATAATTTTTTTCCTTGAATAGGTGGTCTACTGATATAAAAAATCATCAAGAGCTACCTAATGATTTAGAAAAAATTACGGTGCTAATCGATCAGAAGGCTGACACACAAGTATGAATTTTAATGTTTAAAAATCGATTTTAGATTATAGTTATATAATTAGATTATTATTTTGATAAAAATTATATATATTTGTTTTAGTTTGAATGGGTGTCATATTCTACTGATGATGTGAGGGTGGTGATCCCACCTGAGTTGAGGGGCCCATCAGATGTTTGGATGGCGATGGTCTCCTTGATTTGTTATGCGACCATCGAGTGGCACTCCACTGATCGCGTGCTCCGGCAATTTGGTTGTTTTCAACCAATTCCGGAAGCACCTCGCAATATGGACGAGTTGCATAACACAGATAGACGCGGTAAGACAGATACAGATTGGCTGGTGAGGCATCATGAGTGGGTTGTGTTGTGGGAGGATCGACATCGGCGCCTTCCCCGTAGAGAGCCCATTTTACTTGACCTCTTGATGGTTGCTGACGGTTATTATGAGTGGTTTAACAGTAACGAGAAACTATTTCTATTTCCCGAGAATGCACGAGGGCAGACCTTTCCGCGACGTCGATAGAGACATTCACCGACACAACACCATCATCCCCCGACTCGTGGACGGAGAGCAGATGCTTCCGGTTCATCCTCAGCTGCACCAACAGGACCTTCACAGCAGCCACCGTATCTAGCGACTTGCATATCGTAGCCATATATGATGCCGTCACCGCCTTTCCATTGCCAGATGTCGCCGCCTTCACCTGGTTTTATGACCCCACCGCCGCCACCGTCACATATAACCTCTCCTGGAGGCTATTATGGGTCTATGTTTGCAGATCTGACTTGGGGTTCATATGCCAGATATTTAGCGGGTTCAGCCTCATCACCCATGGCCGCAGCACAGACACCTCCTATACAGTTTTCACACTCAGCGATGTCTGGGTTTTATGAGTTTTCCCAGTTTTCGCAGGCCGGTGGGATAGTCAGTTATACACCTTCAGGGTCCTTATTCTATAGAGGTACTTCATCGTCATCAGCTCCTCATCAACCTAATGTACCTACTCAGGACGACGACGACGGTGATGATAATGACAGCGAGGAGTCACAACCAGTGATACGAACAAATCCTCCTCGAGACCGACAACCACTGCCTTGCGGAACACATTCACGTCGTAGGCATCGATAGATTTTGTTTTTTTATTATACTTGTATTTAGTTTATTGGACTTTTTAATTGTAATTTTTTATTATTTATCATTTAATACTTTATTTTGTTAAATTTGTTGGATTTTTTTAATGTATTTCAGTTAATTTTGTTTATTACCATTTAATATCAGTTATTGTAATTTGGTATCATTTACCATTTAATACTTATTGTAAGTTTGTTGTATTTAAAATTATTTTGAAATACCAAATTGTTATTAGTTTGATAAAATTTAATGATTGTGTTTGATAACTTTCTTAAGTTTGTCACTTATTATCTCTTTTATTATAATAACATATAGATGCAAACTTCCAATCTCGTATTATTGTATCGTTTTTTTAATCTTTATCAGCGATTATCGAATGACATTAACTTGAAGTAAATGCAAATTAAAGTACAAGAATTATTATTTGATAAACAAATACATCATTTCCTCATCAATTGTTACTTGATGGCAACAGAAGTGGACATGTTTTTCTAGTGTGTCATGGGTTTCTACAATGCCCACATCTTCTGTATTGTCTAGATCTTTCTCGAATATCCATATCGCAATAAATTCGATTGGATTTTGGACGACCACGCTCCCTCAATAAACTCGGATTTGGTATAATCGGAAGCCAATCTTGAACCTCATCAGGATCTTTGTCATTACTTATGGGGGGAATGTAATACCCCAAAAATTTAGACGATGACCAAAATATAAATTTTGAAAGTTTGATGGTAAAAGTAAAGAATTGGGAAAAGTTTAAGGAATTAAGTGGTGATTTTTCTCAAAAAGATTTTTATTTCATAAATGGATTTATTTAATGACCAAATTATAAATTTGGTAAAGTTTGGTGATCAAAGTATAAACTTTGGAAAGTTTAAGGACCAAAATGTAATTTTGGAAAAAAAATTAAAAATGGGTTACGAAAATAAGAAATAAAAATATTATTTTCACATTTTTAAAATGTTGGAAAATAATATTTAATGGTTTAATTTCATGTTTAATTTGAATTGTTTGATTAAAGTGACTGAATTGCAATTTTTGGAAATTACAAGGGCAAAATAGTAAAGTGGAAAACTAATTTGTTCATCTTGGACTATTGGAAGATGACAAGGCTGATATTTATCTGATTTTGAAGATGATAAGGATATGTGTTGAAAACATTTTTGATATTTCGATATAACAAATTAAGTTAAATGAATTTTAAGATTTTACAAATGATTTTACAATTTTATATTCGATTCAATTAACCGAATATCAAATTATTACTCCAAGTTTTTCAAGATCAATTTTAAACCTTACTAAATGTGTAAAATTGTGATTTGTACTTAAACTATTTTTAAAATAATTTTCACAAAGTATTTTGAACCAAAATCAAAGCCTAAATTCAATTATTTGAGGTGATGCACCGATGCATCAACCATGCATCGATGCATTAGTGAATTAATTGAAACATCAAATGCATTCCATGCACCGATGCATTCTCCATGCATCGATGCACTCTGAATATTTTCAAAACATCGAATGCATTTGATGCATCGATGCACACGCCATGCATCGATGCACTCAGGCTATTTTCAAACATCGAATGCATTTCATGCATCGATGCACACTTGGTGCACCGATGCATCAAGTGTTCCAACAGTCAAAATATTTGAATTTTACACTGATGCACCGATGCATCCTCCATCATGCATCGATGCATGAGACGCTCCACCCAGAAAAATTAATTGTTTTCACACTTGAACGGCTCTATTGACTCCACTAATTATCACCAACGTTCAGAAGTGATTCAAGGTGTATTTAAACAAGTTCTCAAGCCCTTGATCAATAAGAAATTATAGAGAAACAAGAGAGAAAGCATCAAACACCAAGTTTGTGCAAATTAAGCCAATTTTCCTTTCAATATTCATTTTGCTTTTAATAACACCATTTGTGCTCATTTGTAATTATCTTTGAGTGTTCTTTTCTTATTCTAGAATTGTGCAAACATCTTACCTTGTGAGGTTTTTCTTGTAAGTTTGCAAATTTGTAATCTTCTCTTTGGGAAAAAGAGTGTTCTCAAGAGTTGGGGTATACTCTTGAGGGATTTTGTAAGGTTATCTCTTTGGCCTCAAAAGAAAGAACAAATTAGTGAATTTGTTGGAAAATCCTTAGTGTGGATAGCTAAGGTAGTGGACGTAGACTTTGTTTGAGAAAGTCGAACCACTGTAAATCGCTGTGCAATTACTTTCAATTTTCTGCAAAAGCTTCCACGAAATTTTTAATTGCCAATTCACCCCCTCTTGGCCGATTCCGTCGATCGATTAACTCAACAATTGGTATCAGAGCCTCACTCATTTGAAGGTTTAATCGCCTCTTGAGTCGATTCGGGAAGAGTTACATCGATTACAAAGTCATCAATGGCCTCCACTTCAAATTACGACTCCGATCTCGATTCGATGCCCGTCAACAAGTCTCCTTTCTTCAATGGGGCTAATTATGCCTATTGGAAGAATAGAATGATGTACTTCATTCAAGCAAGTGACATGGGAGCATGGAATGCCGTAGAAGAAGGATATATCAAGCCTCTCACTCATCCAAGGTTGTGGAGTGAAGGAGATACAAGAATGTTCCAGCTTAATTCCAAAGCCATCCATATTATTTTTTGTGCTCTTGGACCAGATGAATACGAAAGAGTTTCATCATGTACAACCGCCAAAGAAATATGGGACAAGCTTCAAGTCACACATGAAGGTACCGATGAGGTAAAGAAATCAAAAATTAGTATTCTAACGCATAGCTATGAAAATTTCAGGATGAAACCAAATGAAGACATCAAAGCTATGACGGATAGATTTTCAACGATTGTCAATGGTCTCAAATCATATGGAGAGATCATCTCAAATGAAAAGCTTATGAGGAAGTTAGTCTACTCCCTCCCAAAATCATGGCAATCAAAGAAGACGGCAATCATTGAGTCTAAGGACCTATCATCCTTAACTCTTGAAGAACTTATCGGTTCACTCCTCACTCATGAGATGATGCTTGAAGATGAGGTGGACCTTGATAAAGTTGAAGAGACACCAAAGGAGAAGGAGAAGAAGAAAAACATTGGAGTTGCTCTTAAATCCACAAAAGATGAGAGTGATTCTAATAATGATGATGACGACGAGGAAATGGCATTGTTTGCCAAACGGTTCAGAAAAATGATGAGACCTTACCGAGGAAGAAAATTCAAACGAAACGAAGGCCTAAAAAATGAACCAAAAGAGAAGGACCCAATCATTTGCTATGAATGCAAAAAGCCGGGGCATGTCAAATATGATTGCCCATAATTAAAGAAAAATGGTCAATCAAAGAATAAGCACAAGGCTCATGTGGCTACATGGAGCGATGAAGAAAGTTCCGATGAAGAGGAACAAGAAGTAGCAAACTTGTGCTTGATGGCATTCGGGGAAGATTCTAAGGTAACCTCTAACTCATCCGATTTTGATGATTTATCTTATGATGAGTTATTAGAGGAATATAATGGGTTGGCTTCGGATTATGAGAAATTATTTTTAAAATATAAAATGATGTTTCAAAATTGAAAAATGAAAACAAACTCATATCCAAAACCAACAACGATCTTGAAAGTAAAATCAAAGACTTGCAAATCAAAATAGAAGAGTTTGAAAAGAAAAATTTAGATTTGCAAAATTTACTTTCAAAGATCAATGATGATCATCAAAAGAAAATTGATGATCTTAAAACTTCTTTTGATAAAGTTGGAACAAAACATTTTGAAAAAGGTGGAAATTCAAAATCCAACTTTGTTAGAAAAAGTTTTAGAAACTACAATCATAGAGGTCCCCAAAGAACCTCTAATGGAAAAATCATTAGAAGTATGTGGGTTCCTAAAGAACTCATTACTACTAAAGATAAAAATATCCTACACAAATGGATACCTAAGGGAACTAGGATTTTGGAAACTAATGAATATGGACCCAAAAGAATTTGGGTACCAAAAATCAAAAGTTAATCTATGTTTGTAGGGAAAGGAGCATTGCTACAAGGCACGTGAAACAAATTCAAATTCATGGTACCTTGATAGTGGATGTTCAAGACATATGACCGGAGACAAAAGCCGGTTCATTGAGCTTAACGCCAAAAATAGAGGAGAAGTGACTTTTGGAGACAATTCAAAAGGTCACATTGAAGGTATTGGTACAATAGGTAATACCTCTTCCATACAAATTAAGAATGTTTTATATGTGAATGGATTAAATCATAATCTATTGAGTATTAGTCAATTATGCGATAAAGGATTCAATGTCTTATTTGAAATTAATGGTTGTAAAGTCATTGACATTGCATCTAATCAGATTATGCTTGTTGGTCATAGAATAGGGAACATTTACATGGTGCATTTAGATTCTTTTGATATGACTAATTTATGCCTAGTTGCTAAAGATGAACATGATAGTTGGTTATGGCATAGGAGACTAGAACATGCTAGTATGAGTGTTTTGCAAAGGCTAATTCAAGGTGATTTAGTTCGAGGGTTGCCTAAGCTTAAATTTGATTATGATAAAATCTGTGATGCTTGTGCTAAAGAAAAACAAAAGCGTGTTTCTTTTAAATCCATTAATGACGTATCAACTAGTAGAGTATTACAATTGATCCATGTAGATCTTTTTGGGCCAACTAGGACTACTAGCTTGGGTGGAAAACAATATGCATTTGTCTTGGTAGATGATTATTCTAGATATACTTGGGTTCTATTTTTAAGTACTAAAGATGAAGCATTAGAATAGTTCATCACATTTTCAAAAATAATCCAAAATGAAAAGGGTTACTCTATAACTAGTGTTAGGAGTGATCATGGCACTGAATTTGAAAATCTTGGATTTATTGAATTTTGTAATTCTAATGGTATTAGTCATAATTTTTCAGCACCTAGAACCCCTCAACAAAATGGAGTTGTTGAGAGGAAAAATCAAACTTTAGAAGAAATGGCTAGAACCATGCTTTGTGAAAATAATTTGCCAAAATATTTTTGGGCGGAAGCCACAAATACTGCTTGTTATGTTGTAAATCGAGTAATGATTAGGCCAATTTTAAAGAAAACTCCATATGAAATTTTCAAAAATAAAAAGCCTAACATTATTTATTTTCATCCTTTTGGATGTAAATGTTTTGTTTTAAACAACGGTAAAGAAAACCTTGGCAAATTTGATGCTAAAAGTGATGAAGGAATTTTTCTGGGTTATTCCTTAAATTCTAAAGCCTATCGTGTATTTAATAAAAGAACTTTAGTTGTAGAAGAGTCTATACATGTTGTTTTCGATGATAATCCCCTTCCGAGGAAGGATTCTTGTGTGAATGATGATGTAGGTGTTATAAATACAAATGACGTTAGACATGAAGTTGGAGAACCGTCATCAAAGGAAGAAACGAAAAATGAGGAAACTCATGATCCTCTTGAGAATCCAACCATTGAAGAAAGGGAAGTATCTTATCCAAGAGAGTACAACTATGTCAAGGATGGTGAAATTATAGGTGATCCATCAAAAGGGGTAACAACTCGATCTTCTCTTAGAAATATTTGTAATTATGTTGCATTTATCTCATGCATAGAGCCTAAGAATATTAAAGAAGCATTAAATGATGAACATTGGATTATGGCTATGCAAGAAGAGTTAAATCAATTTGAGAGAAGTAAAGTATGTACATTAGTTGAAAGGCCTAGTAATAAATCTACTGTAGGTACTAGATGGGTATTTAGGAATAAGCTTGATGAGAGTGGTAATATAGTGAGAAACAAGGCTAGACTTGTTTCTCAAGGGTATACTCAAGAAGAGGGCATAAACTATGATGAAACATACGCTCCCGTAGCTAGGATGGAAGCAATTAGAATACTATTAGCATTTGCATGTTTTCATGAATTTAAATTATATCAAATGGATGTTAAAAGTGCATTTTTAAATGGTTTTATAAAAGAAGAAGTGTATGTGGAACAACCTCCAGGTTTTGAAGATTCAAAATTTCCAGATCATGTTCTTAAATTGACAAAAGCTCTTTATGGTTTAAAACAAGCTCCTAGAGCTTGGTATGAAAGATTGTCAAATGTTTTAATTGAAAAAGGTTTTTCAAAAGGAAAGGTTGACACTACATTGTTTTTAAAGCATAAAGGTAAATATTTATTAGTAGTTCAAATTTATGTTGATGATATAATATTTGGTTCTAGTAATGATGTTCTTTGCCAAGAATTTTCTAAGCTAATGCAAAGTTAGTTTGAGATGAGCATGATGGGGGAGCTCTCATTTTTCTTGGGACTCCAAATCAAGCAAAGAAAAGATGGCATCTTCATTAATCAAGCTAAGTACGTCAAAGATATGCTCAAGAAGTTTGGACTGGAAAACGGGAAACCTCATGACACTCCAATGAGCTCTTCTACAAAGCTTGACTTAGACGAAGGAGGTAAATGTGTGGATGTTAAATTATATAGATCCATGATTGGCTCATTGCTTTATCTAACCGCAAGTAGACCAGATATTATGTTTAGTGTTTGCTTGTGTGATAGGTTTCAATCATGTCCTAAGGAATCACATTTACTAGCTGTTAAGAGAATCTTTAGATACCTTAAGGACACTCCTAGTTTAGGACTTTGGTATCCTAGAGACTCTAGCTTTAGCTTGCATGCCTTTTCTGATGCGGATTATGGAGGATGCAAATTAGATAGGAAAAGCACCTCCGGTACTTGCCAATTCCTTGGAAATATGCTGATTTCTTGGTTTTCAAAGAAACAAAATTGTGTTGCATTATCTACCACTGAAGCGGAATACATTTCAGCCGGTAGTTGTTGTGCACAAGTTTTATGGATGAAACAACAACTTTTTGATTATGGAATTGAAGTAGGTACCATTCCTATCAAGTGTGACAATACTAGTGCTATTTGTCTCACTAAAAATCCCATCCAACACTCTAGAACTAAGCACATTGAAATAAGACATCACTTCATTAGAGACCATGTCACTAAGGAAGATGTAGTTCTAGAATATGTTGATACTTTGCATCAATTAGCGGATATCTTTACAAAACCCTTAGACAAGGAAAGGTTTTGGACACTTAGAAGAGAATTAGGTTTAACTGACCTATCTTCACTTAGTGTTTAAAATAATTTAGCACTTTTAATAAGTACTGAAAAATGCTTATAATAATAATTTTTGATTGCATTCTTGCTATTAGTTAGGGGGAGTTTATGATTCTTAGTGAAAATTAATTTTATGTTCAAATAATGTTTAAAGATTAATTTAATTGATTTAACATAATTAATTTTTGATATATGAGTTGTCAACACCACTAGAGCCTATTTATTTAGCATTTTAAGTGTTTAAAATGGATTTTTTACATTTTTGTGCTTCATGCACCGATGCATTTAACAATGCATCGATGCATCCCTTTGAATATGCATCGATGCATAAGACCATGCACCGATGCATCCGTCGGGTTTTAGGTTTAAAATCCTCATCTTCTTTATTTTTCTCAAACCCTAAACCCTAAAACATACGGCCATTCGACCCCTCTCTCTCCAAAATCTCTATTTTTGCTCATAATCTTCGGGAAAACATCAGATTCTTCAAGATTTTCATCCTACAAACCTGCTACACTCATTAAATCGCGCAAAACATCTCCTCATTCCCCTCAATTCGAATTTTTCAAGATATTTTCACAAAAACTCTATTTCATTAAATTTTTGAACTTAGGACTAGTTTAGATTAGTTCTAGTTTGAAATAATTATCGAGCATTGGCTATATGATGATTCTAAACTAGTTTCTACAATGAATTTCATCAAAAACGCATAATCTTTCAAAATTGTTTTTGAAATTTCGAATTAAAAAAAAATCGAAAATTACTGATTCAATTGTGTTGTTTTCATGAAAACTATGCGTATTATGACATTAATTTTAAATAGTTTTCAAAACTTTGCCCATTAAGACTTTGTTAGAGAACCTTGAATTATTGAGGACTCATTTGAGTTTTGGGATTAATTGTTGTGCATACATGTGTTTTAAAATTGCAGGTGATATTTCTTTTCCGATTTCCCTA